AATTCCTTTAACACATATGACGCTCGATTTGGGGCTGTTCGCGGACCTACCTGACGCACCCTACGAAAGCCCGTTCACAAACATGTGGTGATGATGATGGTGATGATGATGATGATGGTGGCGATGATGATGGTGATGATGGTGGTCATGATGGTGATGATGCTAACAACATGTGGTGATGATGATGGTGGTGATGGTGATGATGATGTGTGTGCCAATCTAGCTACTTCGCATCCAGGGCGCGCTTCACATTGGAGTGCAAAAGAATGGCCTTGGCAATGTTCCAGGCCACAACAGGGTCCCCGCACCAGCTCACATGGACACCGCTCTGGCCGTTGATAGAGTAATCGTCGACGAGCTGCTCTGGGATTTCTAGGATGTTTGTCAGGTAGTACGCTTTCTTCTTGAATAGCACCTGCAGTGCCGACTCACCCTCAACTGGATACACGGTGTACGAAGCCCTAATTGGGTTCAAGGGCTCGCTCGGGTACAGCTCCTCGGGCACACCCTCGAGCATGTCCAGCTGTGCCTTGCTGAGCAGAGGCGTCTCGGACGCATCGGGTTCCTCGGGCTGCTCCTCATCGGGGTCCTCGGGCTGCTCCTCAACCTTCTCAGTATCGTCATCAGCGAGCTCTTCCTTATCTTCATCAGCTGGCTCATCCCCTCCAGCTGCATCGTGCGCGATAGCGCCCGCGGGCGCTGCAGCAGGCTTCTTGCCAGCGGGCGCTGCAGCAGGCTTCTTGCCAGCGGGCGTCGCTGCAGCAGGTCGCTTGACTGCGCTGGTCTTCTTGGCACGTTTCTTCTCTGGCTGCTCGATCGGGCTTGGCCTGGTCAACTTCAAGCCGTCATTCGTGATGTGGCCGTTGGGGATCGACGTCGGCCAGCGCTCGACGTCGTCCCAGAGGGCGACGGCCATGCCATTGTCTCCACCGATGTACTTCGTCGCGTACAGCTTGGCGCCGTCGCTCATGAGCATGAACGCTTTCGCGCCAACGTCAGTGACCTCCAGCTGCTTGTACACGCACACGGCCATCTCCGAGGGATCGTCATCGGTCCTGAAAGCAAACAGCGGGTGGGGCCGCCTAGGATATTGGCCAGCCGACGGCGCATCGAACTCCACGCCAATGATGCTCTCGTAGATGCTCTGGAGCCATGCTGGATGCGATGGCGCAGCAATCTTCTTGCTCTCCTCAAGCTTGCACCAGCCGTCGTACTTCTCCCTGATGTGCGACAGCATGACGCGGTACTGGTAAGTGATGTTAGTCACAGTGTGGTCAGTGCTCTCGTAGTTCTTCATCTGCATGTAGCCCCTGAACATCTCGATGTTCTCTGGAACCACGGCCAGCCGTTTTACTGCTATCTCGAAATCTTTCTGAAGAAAGTGGCCACCACGTGGGTCCAATTTAATCATGCAATGCAACTCTTCGCTGAATTTAGACATAGCCTCGATGTCGATACCTCTCTTCATGTCCACGCTTGGGTAGTTCCAGCCTCCATGCATGAGATGTCCGTGGAACCCATTCTTCAGGATATCGTGGAGCGCGTCAGCCGCGTTCCCTGGGCTCCAGGCTCTCACGCCGACCATTTCGCCTGCAAGGTCGATCCCGAGGGCCGATTCTCCGAGCAATTGTTCGAGCCAAAGCGGCGATGGCGAAGAAGACATGGGTGGGGGACATCAAAAATGAAGCGATTAAGAGGGGTGGGGGGACACGGATGTCTTCGATCGTCGCATTTTGCTTGGGTTCCAACGGGCCAAGAGGGCCCCAAGAAGCGCCCAAGAGGGCCCAAGATGCCTCCAAGACGGCACTCAAAGGCGCCCAAGATGGCCCACGAGCGCTCCAAGACGGCCCAAGAGCGCTCCAAGATGGCCCCCCTTAAGAGCGCTCCAAGGGCCCAGAAGGCCACCAAGACGGCCCAAGATGCCTCCAAGACGGCCCAAGATGCCTCCAAGACGGCCCAAGAGCCCTCCAAGCGCTCCAAGGAGGAGGACGAGGAGGAGGAGGAGGAGGAGGAGGAGGAGGAGGAGGAGGAGGAGGAGGAGGAGGAGGAGTGAGTGAAGAAGGTGGTAACGTAGAAGGCGGAGGGAGACGCGTGGGGGTTGAAAGAGGAGGAAGAGGAGGAAACTATGAGAAGAGTGCAAGGAGGAGGAGGAGGAGGAGGAGGAGGAGGAGGAGGAGGAGAAAGATTTTTGTTTGCTCACCGCTACCGAACACAAGAGCGCGAACGCACGCACGATAACACGCGCGCGAAGATCGGCAGCCACCGTGGCCAGCAGCAGGCAACCACGCACAGACAGCGAAAGGGCGCGACACGCCCATGTACCGAAGCAAAACTGGTCGACGTCAGACCTGATCTCCGCACGCGCCAAAGGTGTGACTTTGGGGAGGGACCTACAAAGATGTGGAACTCAAGTTAAAGATGTGGATCCATGGATCCTCATCCACAGGATGTGGATCGAGGCATTTCTGTAGAATCCTCTTCAAAAGAAGAGGATCGGAAGGCCTGGGGAGGGGGAGGCAAAGCAGGGGGCGGGAAGAGGGAATCCGCCCAAATGAGCAGGAAAAGCTCCTCCTCCTCCTCCTCCTCCTCCTCCTCCTCCTCCTCCTCCTCCTCCTCTGCATTCACAGCGACGACGATGATATTCATTCCCACATTAGTTTGGGAGAGTCTCGGGCGGGGCCCTGCCGTCGGAGTTTTTGTTCCGATTATTCCTCTCCCTCTCCTTTCGTTGCTTCCTCATTTCCCCCCCATGCAGGTACTTCTTCTCTGACTTCAGCTGCTGCTCCTCCGCCTCCTCCCTCCTTCCTATTGCTCGTGAAGTCCTCTAGATGCTCTCCCAAGTGTTTGTTTGGTCTCTTGCGGGCCTTTTTCGGGCCTCGTGGGGGCCTCCTTTTTTTCCCTCTCTCGGGTTGGGTTCTCTTGGCTACCTTTGGGCCCCTTTTGACCGTCTTCGGGCCGTCTTCGGCTATTCTGGGACCTTGTTGGCCGTCTGTGGCGTTTTTGGGAGCCCTCCCGGGGGACTCTTGGACAGTCTTGGGGCTCTCTTGGGCTGTCTCGGGTCCGTTTTGGGGTTGTCTTCGTCCAGCTTGGGGTCTCTTGGGGCTTTCTTGGGGACCTCGGGGCTTCTTTTGGGGCCATTTTGGAGGCATCTTGGACCGTCTTGGAATTCCAGAGTCCCGTGAAGGCGAGAGCCCGGCACCTTGTCAAAAACTGATGGTCAATCAGCGATTTTGGGCGCCTTTTGCTTTTGGGGGGCCTGAGCTTCTCTTGGCTCCCTGTTGGTGCATATTGGGATTTACTTTGTTTGTCTTGAGTTGAGGCATTTGGGGGCCCTCTTGGGCCGACTTGGGCTCTGGAGGCTCTCTTCGGGGCCTCCTGAGGCGGCTTGGACTGGCCAGGAATTCGAGCCCCCCGCTGGTGACTTCTCTTGGCGCCGCGGTTCCCTAGCAGACAATAGGATGCATACATGATTAGGGAGAAGAGTCATACAGAAATGACAGCATACAAAAACATTACTCCGACGGTAGGACCCCGCATGAGAAGATATTGAGATTGCCCTTCGCTTTTTCCTCTTCGCCCTGGCCGACCCCCCCCGTTTCGCCCTCTGTTGCGCCTCCTGCTCATCCTCCTTGTGTTCCTCGTCCTCCGTCTCCATCTCCTGCTCGCCCTCCTTGTTCAATGTCTCTCTTCCTCTTTGTCCTTCTCTTCCTCCTCCTACACCACCTCCTCCTCCTTCTCCCCCCCCCTCATCTCCGTCCCACCTGTTCTCCTCGTGCATGCCGATTTTCCTCGGCGCCCTCGCCGCCGCGCCCAGCAGGGGCGCGTTTTGCGTTAACAAAATCGCGAAACCGTCGGGGCAACGGCCGTTGGGACAACCCCACGAGCCGCTGGGGCGCCAGAGCAAGCCGTTGGAGCCGAAAAGTGACGACAATCACAAGTTTCCGATGGTCCGTTCGGCACTCACAGACGAAGTTCCCGCCTTAGACTTCTTCCGTATTCAGTCCAGAGGAGCCGACAAGTAAGTGACGACAGTTACAGAGATCTGGTGGCCCGCTCGGATTACCAACGTGAAATGCAGACCCCATGGGGAGGGGACTCTCGCCTGAGATTTCCTCGCAATTCACTCGCAGACAGACCTCACGCTCGAGATTTTTTCCACATTCAATCCAGAGGAGTCGGAAACTGACGACAGTTACACGGATCCGATCGCCCGTTCGGATTCTCAATATGAAGTGCGGACCCCACCTGAGGCTCTTCACAAGTCACTCACACTCTCACACACACACACACACACACACACACACACACACACACACACACACACACACACACACACACACAAAATTCCCTTTCGAGACTTCCTCCATATTCAGCCCACAGGAGCCGAAAGTGACGACAGTTACAGGGATCCGATGGCCCGTTCGGATTACAACATGAAGTGCGGACCCCATAGGGAGGGGGCTCTCGCTCGAGGCCCCTCACAGTTCACTCACAGAGGAAGCTCCCGTTGGAGACTTCCTCTATATTCAGTCCAGGGGGGCCGAAACCTGACGACCATTCAGGGATCCGATGACCCGTTCGGATTACCATTTTGAAGTTGGGACCCCATCGGGAGGGGGCTTCCGTTTGAGAGTTTTTCGCGATTCACTTGCATACGAAATTCCTTCTTGGTCGACGATCGCATTGGGATGGTGATGATGATGAATGTATGATGATTGTGATGATGATGGTGAGTAGGTGGTGGTGACGCTGATGAGAAGGTGTGCGAAAATGATGATGATGGTGATGACGAATGTGTGTGTGAGACAGAGAGTGTGCTGCTGATGATTATGAATGAGTGTGTGCTTGTGTGCTGCTGATGATTGTGTGTGAGTGTGTGAGGAGGAGAGCAGGTGAGGAGGAGGTCTGCGCGGAAGTGTGCAGAGAAAACGAAAACCCTACGTAGGATGTGGGGACAAGAGAGCATCCAGCAGGAACCTTAACAGCCTTGCGCCCGCAAGGGGCCGACGGATATCGACGGCCCCCTTTCGGAAATGAACAAATTTGCAGATATGATGGCTTGCATTAAAGACAAGAATCCAGACTTCCAACACGTCATCGCTGTGGACAAGCATTTTGGGATTTTTGGGCGTGCTTGGTGTGTTGCGGAACTCGTGGAAGGCAACGCTTTGCGATTGTCCCAGCGCCTGCTAATCTTTGATTCCGAGTCAGTGAAGGTCAACCGGTCTTCCTTGAGCTCTCTTGATGTGTCGGAGTGCGAGGCGTCGCGTCCCGAAGACAAGGAACTCATTCTGTCGAAGATAATGGACGTACAAGCGTTCAATTTGCATTTGCGCAACTTGTTATCGGACGGTGAGTCTAGTCTTTTCGGGCAATGGGCTGCTAAGGCGCTTCAGTACGCAGCCGATGCCACCTTGGGCTGGGATGAAGTTTCAAATGTATACGTGTCTCGTTTGGCATTGGTCTCGGACGCAGATTTTCGAAGTAGTATGTTTCTGTTCTCCATCGTGCCGTTAGCAGTAGTTGTTTGGCTTTTCGCATTTGTGCCCTCGCAGAATCCTGCTGATGGTTGGAAAGCTAATACTAACTTCTGGTTCCTCTTCTTTCCCGGGTGGAGCATCCAGCTGCCTGCGGCAAATCTGCCACCGCGCCAGCGAGGCGCTCCGTGTGACGACGCTTCGAGCACTGCCCAGAAGGCCGTCACCTGTGTCCTTTTCATCTCCCCTTCTTGAGGAGTTCTCATCGGGTCTATCTGGCCGTCTTTGGGCCGTCTTGTGTTTTGGTGGGAAAGTCTTGGGGGACCCTTGGGGGCGTATAGAACCCAGAGGGTAGGCCTACCCTAGGCCTACCCCTATGCCTACCCCCTAGGCCTACCCTAGGCCTACCCTAGGGCTAACCGTCGGCCTGCCCCCTAGGCCTAACCTAGGCCAACCCCTCGGCCTTCCCCCTAGGCCTACCCTAGGCCTTCCCCCTAGGCCTACCCTAGGCCTACCCCTAGGCCTTTCCCCTAGGCTCGCCCTAGGCCTACCCCTAGGTCCACCCCCTAGGCCTATCCCTGGGCCTTCCTCCTAGGCCTACCCTAGGCTTACCCCTAGGCCTACCTCCTAGCCTCACTGTAGGCTTACCCCTAGGCCTACCCCTTGGCCTACCCTAGGCCTACCCCTAGGCCTACCCTTACGTCTACCCCAGGCCTACCCGTAGGCAGTCCCCCTAGGCCTACCTGAAGACTACCGCAGGCCTACCCCCTAGGCCTACTCTAGGCCTATCCCTAGGATTATCCCTAGTCATTCCCCCTAGGCCTACTGCTAAGCTTTCCCCCTAGACCAACCCTAGGTCCACCCCTAAGCCTTCCACCTAGGCTTACTCTAGGCCTACCCCTAGGCCTTTCTCCTAGGTCTATCCTAGGCCTACCCCTAGGGCTAACCCTAGGGCTAACCCTTAGGCCTACTGTAGGCTTACCCCATAGGCCTACCCCCTAGGCCTACCCGCCCGTTGAGGCCCGCCCGCTCGACCCGACCCGAACCGCCCGTTTGGGCCCGCCCGCCCGACCCGACCCGACCCGGCCCGCCCGTTAGGGTTCTCGCGTGCGAACTCGATCATGCACCGCACTTTAATGTCCCGCCCGCCCGACCCGACCCGACCGTAGGGTCCGCCCGCCCGACCCGACCCGACCCGCTCGTTAGGGTCCGCACGCTCGACCCGACCCGACCCGCCCGTCAGGGTTCTCGCGTGCGAACTCGATCATGCACCGCACTTTATTGTCCCGCCCGCCCGACCCGACCCGCCCGTTAGGGTCCGCCCGCTCGACCCGACCCGACCTGCCCGTTAGGGTCCGCCCGCCCGACCCGACCCGACCCGACCCGCCCGTTAGGGCTCTCGCGTGCGAACTCGAGCATACATCGCCCTTTCATGTCCCGCCCGCCCGACCCGACTCGCCCGTTAGGGCCCGCCCGCCTGACCCGACTCGACCCGCCCGTTACGGTCCGCCCGCCCGACCCGACCCGACCCGCCCGTTAGGGTTCTCGCGTGTGAACTCGATCACGCACCACGCTTTAATGTCACGCCCGCCCGACACGATTCGGCCGTTGGGGTTCTCGCGTGTCAACTAGATCACGCACCACATTTAATGCCCCGCCCGACCGACCCGTCCCGCCCGTAATGTCCCGCCTGCCCGACCCGACCCGCCCGATCCGAACCGCCCGTTAGGGTCCGCCCGATCCGACCCGCCCGTTAGGGTCCGCCCGACCCGACCCGACCCGACCTGCCTGGCAGGGTATTCGCGTGTCAATTCGATCATGTACCACACTTCCGACCCGACCCGACCCGCCCCGCCCGTTAGGGTCCGCACGCCCGACCCGACCCGACCCGACCCGACCCGCCCGGTAGGGCTCTCGCGTGTGAACTCGATCATGCACCACACTTCAATGTCTCGCCCGCCCGATCCGACCCGCTCGTTAGGACCCGCCCGCCCGACCCGACCGGACCCGACCAGGCCATTAG